AAAATCTTTGCCATTCGATACAAATTGGAGGCCACTAACTCATGCAATATTTAGTCATTTTTTTACCATCTTTTGAAAATTTAATCAAATTGCACATTTTAGTTAAATTTCTACAAATTGATGCAATTTATGCCAATTTTAACCCTTGTTATTTTTTGTCTTTTCCCCAACATTCTACCCCTACAAAAAGTAGACACAAAAACTGAGATTTTCCATTATCTCCATATATTAGTTGTTAGTTTTTCTTTTATTGTCTTCAGATATTTTTTTTTGTATATTATCTTTAGCTAATGAAGGATTGAAATACCCCGATAAATAATTTAGCCACAAGTAAAAAATTCAATAAAGGCTATATAGAAAAAATTTAACAAACTAGATAGAGAACGGGAATTTTTTATTCACTTATAAATTCTTGAATATCTCTACATCGAAGCTACTTCTCCACCTTAGAAACCATGTAGCTACACCCCTTTTTACACAAATAGCCGTTCATATTCTTTGTTTACTTTTTTCTAGCCATATACATAGATTATACATTGATTATACACATATAATATACAAAATATACATACATTATACCTCCACCGGCGATTTTTAGTTTAAATAATTGGTGAACGACTATTTTGGGTTAATTCTCCATTTATAATACTACAAATCAAACTTGACTAGAATTTAGAAAATTTACTCCTACATGGATTCGATTGTGAATCCTAATTAGATAGAATTAAATAGAGTAACAAATACCAAATCCCAGAGAGCTTAGGAATACTAATTAATCTCGGTTTAATTTCCAACAGTTTTCTTTAAACCAAGATCTTCAAACTTAAGCATGTAACGAGTAACATCAAACCTTGTAGAAGTCAAATACTTTAGGCTCTCATTAATTTTCTAAAATATGTTGCATCAACAAAATCAGAAGCGCAATCCTTAGTCAATTTCATCTTCTCTTCAAAATTGATCATAATTGATTTGGCTTTACCTATGATACATCCTTTCAAAATATCAATAACATATTTTTCTTTTACTATGAAATCATCTACTTCTCCATTTGCCATGTGGTTGGCCTTGTACACCCATTCAATTCCAATTAGTCGTCCTATAGTTTTTAGAGTAATGCCATCAATAAACATTTCATCATACTCCTTGAAACATGCAATCTCGAATAATGGCACAAAATTTATTCCATTTTCGATATCTGTAATCATGAATTATTATGGTTCTGGATCCCAAGCTAGTTCCGTCTCAATCTTGAATAGATCACCAGAACTTTTCTCTTGGTGTATCATTATACTTCTTTATTACTAGGATCATCTTGACTATCAAGTAAGTTTTCTTGTAAATACCATCCTCTTTCAGTGGTGCACCACTTGCAACTAAATCATCTATTTTAACTTTTCCTTCGATTCTTGCTCCTCTATTTTTGAATTCTAACCTTCTTGATTTATTTTTGCAAAATTTGTTATCTTTTTTTTTGTAGGTTGATCATTGATCTCCTTCGGTAGCAATAACTCCTCCACTATTTTATATCTCTGTTGATTAAGGGACATCTAATATGTCACGAAATCACATTCTAAATCATCAAGTCTTATGGTGTTAAGTGTAACGACCCGATCGGTCATTTTGAGCTCTAGCGCGTCGTTTGGTAGTTTGAGGTTATGAGTAGCTTCACTTCAAGAATTATGACTTGTACGCATGGTCGGAATTGAATTTTGGGAAGTTCAGAGTGGATTTGGAAAGAAAATTCTCATTTCGGAAGCTTTAAGTTGAAAGAATTAAGTAAGGGTCGATTTATAAGTAAACGAACTCGGATTCAGGATTTAAAGGTTCTAACAGGTTCGTATGATGATTTTAGACTTGGGCATATGTCCGAATCGGGTTTTGGATGACCCGGGAGCGTTTCGGCGCCTATTGTGGAAGTTGACATTTTGGAAGAATTTCATAAATTTGGGTTGATGTGCATTTCAATGCTATCAATGTCCTATTGGGATTTCGAATCTGGGAGTAGCTCCGTATGGTGATTCAGGTATTGGGAGCGCGATCGGAAGTGGATTTGGAGGCCCGTAGGTAATTTTGGGCCATTTGGCTTAAGTTAGAAATTTGAAGGTTTTTGGAGAAGTTTGACCGGAAGTAGACTTTTTGATATTGGGGTCGGATTCTGATTCCGGAAGTTGGAGTAGGTCCGTAATGTCAAATATGACTTGTGTGCAAAATTTAAGGTCAATCGGACGTGATTTGATAGGTTTTGACATCGAGTGAAGAAAATCGAAGATCTAAAGTTTATCAAGTTCGAAATTGAGTATGATTCGTGATTTTAGCGTTGTTTGATGTGATTTGAGGCCTCAAGCAGGTCCATATTATGGTTTGGGATTGGCTGGTATGATTGGTCGGGGTCCGAGGGACCTCGGGTGGATTCTAGGTGGTAATATACGACATTGTCCAGGCCTCGTTTAATTACTTTGCATGCAAGATTTGTTAGATACATGCAGTTTGACCTTGATGGCAAGATAATATCGCACTCACAATCCAATTGTCTTTTTTTTTTCAATTGTGTAGTTGTGTTACTCATCAATGTTGTGCTTTCTAGAGTTTTCAAATCCTTCGTTAATAATGGACCATAATCCAACAATATTTAAAAAATTCTTTTTCTGTTGATACCAAGTTTCAAAATTATTTTTGTCATCAAACACAAAAAAATGAGACAACCAAGTGATAGAATATCCATATATTTTTAGGATCTCATACCTGCTTTGACAGATCTCACATAGGCTCCGATACCAATTTAAAGGATTGAAATACCCCAAAAAATAATTTAAGCACAAGCAAAAAATTCAACAAAGACTATACGGAAAAAATTTATCAAACTAGAGACCAAACATGGTAGGAGGCTTTTTTATTTATTTATAAACTCTTGAATCTCTCTACATCGATGCTATCTCTCTACCTAAAAAATTATGTAGCTACACCCCTATTTATAATACTAAAAACCAAATTTGACTGAAATTTAGAAAACCTATTCCTACATGATTCCGACTGTGAATCCTAATTAGACAGAATTAAATAAACTACTCCATCCGTTTTAATTTATGTGAACTTATTTGACTGGGCACAGATTTTAAGAAAAAATGAAGACTTTTAAAATTTGTGGTCCTAAACAAGTCAGAAAGAGGCCTAGGATACTTGTGTGGTTATAAAAGCTTCACATTAAGGGTAGAATTGTAAGTTTAAGCTAAATTGTTACCAAATTTAGAAAGTGGTCATTCTTTTTTGATAGACCAAAAAGGAAATGGGTTCACATAAACTGGAACAGAGTGAGTAACAAATAACATAGACAATTTAGGAATACTAATTAATCTTAGTTTAATTTTCAACTTCTAAAAACTCAAAGGCTTTTTTTCCTCTCTTTATTTGTCACTTCTCAATATTAAGATATTGATTTTATTGTGGATGAAATTTTTTCACAAATTTTAAGAATATGATACCAGTAGCTAAATAGTAGAATGAAAAAAAATATTGTTAAACCTCTTTATAACAGCCTCATATGTCCATATTTTTTGGCCTATATTAACGATTAATTGTTATACACCTATATTAACATTTAAAATTTAGATCTTATTTGGTTGTTATAAACAAAATTACCCAAAAATAGTTTTTTCAATTTTTTTATATTTAAAAGATAAAAAATATATTTAGAATTAACATCTCAAAAGATATTCATATTTCATTAATTAAAATTGTAAATAATTAGTACGATATCAATACATCCGTAACTAGTTGTTACATTTATTTTATCTAGGGAGTTTAGCAATTTTATTATGTTCAAAAATATTATTTTTTGTTGTTTGAAAAATACTTAATTTTTTCAAAACTTATTTGTTACCTTAAATTTCCCTTTTTTTGCTCGAAAAGTAAACGCGGTAAGTTCTCCCTCCTTTTCCAAAATATTTCCCGAATCTTTCCCTCTTTTAATTCCATTATTATGCCTCTAGTCCTAGATTTTCTCTTTTCAACACTTCGGCTGAACTGCTTCTTCTCTAGTGCACTGCTTCCCTTCAGATGCGCTCTCTCGCAATTTTCTGTCCATATTAGTTACATTTTGTAAGTATTATTCTTCTTCTCAATTTATGGCTCCTGCTATGATTTTTGAATCACGGATTATGTCTTTTGTGTTGCTCCATTGTTTCAATTTAAGTAGTTTTTTATTAAGGTGTTTTCAGGCTAGGAATACGATTTATTGGTATTGCATTGTGTCTTGGGAATTTTTGAAGTAAAGTATCCATTTGGGCGAATCAACTTCAGAATGTCACTGCTCGTCTAAAGGTGGTTTTTTTTCTTTTTTTCTTTTCCTCTTAATTTTATTTATTTTCTTTATCTCAGTAGCAGTAGAATTTGGGTTTTTCAGTTGTAGTTATTGCTTGAACCAGTAATGAAACCCTTATGGACAACCTAGCTTGAAATTTATTCTCTTTTTTAAAGAGTGTTGATATTCGAGGAAAGACCATTAGATATTTTGCTTCAGGCTACAGACTACTCAGTGTTGTAGTAAGAAGCTCCTTTGTTTAAGGTAAAACTTTTCCAGATTCCAATTAGAATTTAGTTCTGTTGTGTGATGTTGAAATTGATTGACCCACAAATTAATATAATATGGGAGACATGAGCGGCTCAAGTATATGCAGAGCCTAAGGCCAAAGTTTAATATGAGGCCTAATTTTTTAAAAGAAAGTTATAGCATACGTTTTTATTTGAAGTATATTCTTCTAACTTCTTGAGATACAAAGTTGTTAATAATCTTTTTTTATAATTGATTTTCTCTAATTGTCTTTATTCAATTGATAATATAGCCAGCTCATTTAATCTTTCTTGAGATATTGTAGATATTAGATAATATTTTATAGAGCAATAGAAGTATAGAATTATTGGAAGCTTAAAAGTATTGTTGAACAGTGGAGCTAATGATATCTTGTAGAAATAAAGTGAGTAATGAAATATTGGAGAAAGCAAGTGAGTAAGAATATTAAAAACAAAGAAAGAAAATATATAAGGGTTTCTGAAATATAAAGATATTGGAGAAAAGAAAGATTGACTTGGACATATTAAGAAAGGAAGAGTGAATTTTTTTATACATTATCTAATGAAGGAGTAAAACTGAAATATTGAGAAAACTATTCATCTATCCATTTTGAATATGTCAAATTATTACTTTATTTACATATCTAAAGAGCTCTATTTCCTCTTATATTAAAAACTCTAATTTTGTATTAAAAGTACTAAATATCATTTTTAAAATACCTATAAGCCTATTCGTTTTAAAAAATGCCCCACCCCCCCAAATTTGCGAGCCTAAGGCCCATGCCTTACCCCTCATCACGTTAGAGTCGGCGCTGATGGGAGAGCATAAATGCATTTTATTCTGTCGATTATTCAGTCAGGGAACTTCCTAATGTTTTTCTCACTTCTATATTGAGGAATATCAAGACAGTACAAGGTCTTTAATGAATACATATCTTTTACTTGCTATGGTGACAAATTTTTCCTTCTCTAGCTCATACTTTAGTAGTTTAGTTTTTCACTTTCCTTAGAAAATGAATTACTGCAAATGAAAACTTCCTCTAGTAATATGTCTTGCATCATATCATTATTGCAGATGTGCACGTTTCTAAGAGTACTGGACATGGTGTAACTTCAAACCCGCTATCAGGTAAGTTGACTCATTTTGTTGTAAAAACTAGTTTATGTACGGCTCGCATAAGTTTTTGAGCATATTTTATATATGCCTTCAAATTTGAATAATTCTAGCATACAAAGATCATTAGGTAGGTAATTATTTGTATGCTACTGATGTTTTATTTATTTGGAAAAAAGAAAATGAACTCCAACTTTCTATATAATTATTCGAGATTGAGGGTGAAGAACATGAGCCTTACATCGAAGTATTTCAAGCATAAATATGGTGTACTATGTAGATGATGTTTTCAATTAAGGATGAAGTAATTTTAGTAAACCTAAAGCTAAGAGATTTGTATGATACAGAAGAAGTTATGGAAGATGAAGGTTATGAGAATGAGTCATACTAATAGTTGGGATATAACTAGTTACAGACCATCTAATTGATGATGTAGTCGAGGCAAATACTGCTACTTATTTAGCAACAAATGCATATAAATTCGAATAAATTTTTTATTTAATATGGTATTTTATCTAAAGGTAACAATATTGCATCTTTAAGTAGTGCTTATTTATTTCGTTTATAGGTATGTTTAGAGATGATATTCATATTTGGTTTAAAGCTATGTTCAGAAATGATATTCACATTTGATTCACCTTATTTTTTATATCTTGCATTCGTATGTGTTCCCATAAAAGGGTCTCTTACTGTGGAGTAATTCTAGGGACAAAAACTTTGATGAAGCCAACTTGATTGAATGCTAATCTATGCATATTTTGGTTTAACAGATTGATATGTTGTTATGATGGCATTGAGTGGTAAGTTATGCTTGTTAACTCATCTCCTAAATCTTTTCACATCTTTTCCTTAGGTTACATTAAGTAACTAAAAGTAATTTGTTATATATTCTCTTGTAGTTTTTATTGATAATACAGATACTAGTGGAATTCATGCCTTAGAAAAAGTTTTGTGCCTTTTAATTTGTTGTTTCTTTTGTTTGAAGTTGGATCCAACAGATTTTAACATGCTTGGTTTGTTTAACTAACTACTCCTATCAGACCACTCCTATTTTATTCAGTTCATTTCTTCTGCTTCAATTTCATAGTGTTATTAGCCTTCAGTTTTGATGCAAGTATGTTAATCATTAGGATAGATTACAGCTTATAATTTATTTGTTTGATTCTAAATGTTAGAAAGCTTATAGTGGTTAACTTATGATTTATTAGTTACATTATGATTTTCGTGAATATATGGCAAGAATTTATACTATCAAGTAAATAGTTTGTGGATGTAAGTGTTGTGATGATATCCAAGGAAATAGCTTTGTACTTTAGCTCTTATTCATGCGAGTATCTAACAACTTCTGTTCAATGCTATTGTTGGATCAAGTAACAGATTTATTTGTAAGAAGAATCAGATCTTTTGTTTATTTATATACCCAGATCTTCCTTTTAGCTTGTTGGCAAAATTTTATTCCTTTATAAGTTTTTGATCAAAATTCTCTGTTTCAGCATGTGATGTGTA